TATTTTGACTTTTTTGACTAAACTTTGTTTCAGACACAATGTAACCATTTATTGATTTACAGGGCTTAAAAAGCAAATCAGCTACTTTGAGACAAAATTTTCTGGACCATTGCATTTAACTTTCAACCTTGCTGTAGCACTAGCTAATTTTTGTATTAAGCACATCATTGCAGTTTTTGGGACTTCTAATGCAAAACCTTGGAGTTTTCAGCTAAAAACCTTCAGCCTCACCCCCTCATTAAGTATGCAGAAAGTATGTTTAGCTTTTTATCTCTGTAGATGTTCGACCAAATTTAGTACTTTAATTTTTTATAACAAGTAATTGTGCATATCTACCTACTGATGTCAGACAACTATCAGAATGAGACTGCTAAATTACTTGAAAAAAATTTAACGCTAAGAAACCTCAGTCTTGAGCCAATAGGTAATTTTTTCATCCCTGGATCACATGAAAGGACCTCGCCTTTGACTTTTCTAGCATTGTTAACGACCTGGCATCATACTGTATCTGTATGTCATACGCTCCATTAGTAAAGATATTTTTTAATAAATTTTAAAAATCAAACAAAATAACACACAGCAATAATAAATGCTTATTTATATACATATGTTCTTGTCTGCCTTGAATTTCACTCTAATCATACAGAAAAACATAAAATGAGGAAATTATATTATTGGCCTTACTTGAATGAAAGACTGATGTCAGTAGTGTAAATCCTAACCTTGCATGGGAGTGACAGAAACACTAAAGAGATAGAGAGGTAAATAGCAGTGAATTGTAATTGTAAGTCAGATTAAACAACAATAGTAACTGTAATACTACTCTGTGTGTAGAGGCTGATATAACTACTTCAGTGACATATATATTTACACGTAGGCCTGGGACATACATTTGTACTTAATGCAAATGCATCAAGTAATCAGCTACATCAACGGTGCATACAATATAGAGAAAAGTGGATTAACAGTGAAGTGTTTTCTATAATATTAAATTAGGCAAAACAGAGTGGAGAGAGAGCTTGAAAGACATAGACAGACCAAGTGAGAAAGAGAGAGAATGAATGAAATTTAATGATAGAATGGAATGGACATCATAGGGTAAAAGTGATGAATCGAAACAAGGCACAGGCGGAGTTAAAAGTGAGGAATACTTTTAGCAAAAGAGTAAGACTAAAAGTGGGGAAGAGAGAGAGATAGAGAGTCATGGGGAGAGGAATGTACATGTAGATGTACATGTACATTAAGAAGATAGAGAGGAAGAAATATACACATAGGATAGAGACATACAAGAGCAAAGAAGAGAAAGATGTAGAGAAAAGAGAGATGTAGAATAGTAAAGTCATAAAGAGAGGAATGATAGGGAAGAAGAGGGGAGAGTGTATGAGACTAGACAATATTCAGGGAGATTGAAGGAGGAACAGTGAGGGATAAAGTGAGAGATTAGGAGAGGGTATGGGTGCAAAGATTGTACTTAGTGAATGTTAAGAGGGGTGGAAGAGAGTAGTAAAGGAAGAGCATACATGTACACAAAAACATAATGTTCTAAGGGAATTAACAAAAGAAATAAAATGTTGCCAAGGAAACATCTTGCGCTGTATTACAAGGTGTATTATGCTCGGAGAAATTTTATTTTTCTATATTTTTATAATACAAGCATGTATACATGTGCATGCATGTTCTTGTTTTACATACAAAGCTTGAGCTGATTCCAATTATGATACAAACATTTAAGGCATGTGACAATTACCATTAAAATTACACATGCAGTAGTCTATATTAACATGTCCATTACATACCACTTACCATCATCATTGCTTCAGCCAATGCAACACAGCATTAGTAATCTCTTCTCTTCGACTTGATCCATATTGAATGCAGTCTTTCTTGATTATAAATTCGTTGTACTAAGAGAGACAGAAAGAGATGATTAATTATACATAGTGATGTCGATCTTTTACTTGTTCTAATTGGACATTGTCATGCTCTCCTTCATCATCTGTAAAGTACTGGTGACATTCTCCTACACAATAAATGATACATCACATTACTGACCAGAAAGACTGACACCCCATTCTCTCTCCCTCTCTCCCCTTTAATGTACATACATGTACATGTACATGGACTGTAGTGTGCATTGTGTCTTGATACACAATGTAGTTATATGACTATATTAAATAATAACAGTGTTCATGTATACATTAGTGTACATGCATAATATGCAGGTATATTACACTTGCTTACTGGCACCAAGCCTGTGTTAGTATGAGGAGGAGAGAAACACAGAAAGAGGAACAACAGGAGACAAAGATCAATCAGTGAACACAAAATTGAGAACATACCTATTAGCAATAAATACATGTATTGGGAAACTATGTGTTATAAACTATAGTAACATTACAACATGCCAGCTTTAAGGAAAGTCTATTATAGCAAATAATACTTAAACTACATGATGAATCTCGTGCACACAGTGAAACCTTATTATATCAAGCCTGACACCAAATATGTATACAAAGTTTTGTCATGAAGGCAATAACATTATAATGACATATACAAGCAATTAATTTATATGATTTATAAAGCTTTAATATCAACAACCCCCCCCCCCGGCAGTAGTACAAAAGGAAAAGTGGCTTCAAGTGCCTAGACTATATGCATCATCATGCAATTGCAAAAATTATACAACTAAAGAGCAACCTATACTTGCCTGTATGAATGAACTGCCTATTGCAAGACGACAGCAGGACTGAGGGGCTCAATTTCATCTTCCTCCTTGAAGCCGCCATGACACTTGTTAACTATTTATAACCAGATCTGTCATGGTCACAAGTGACGGGTGAGTTTCAAACTTTTTGGTATGGAAGCCCAGAAGGACACTCCGGGGTCGGGGATAAATATCAGGGCCGAGATTCCGCCGGTATCGGGGCCGAGATTCAACCGGCATCGGGTCGGATCCGGCCGGGAGGCGGCATCATAGATAATAGAGTAAATGAAAGGGATTGGAAACGGGGGCGTAGGCTAGTTGATGTTGCTATTGGTTACCGGCCCAATACCTGGTTGATTTCCCATCTCCTCCATTAGTGAGGCTGTACTGCAAGGACTTCGAAGGATATTTAT